CCCGCTCAATCGGAGGCATATGAGAGAGTATGCATGAAATACCGAACGCTCCATCTTCAACTTGAATGCATTTTGCACTTGTTTGGTTGGTTCTCGGCTTCGCTTTCAAAATCGTTTCGAATCGGCAAAAATAGCTAACAAAACCTAAAAAAAAAAATAAAACAAGAAACGCAATAATATATACAAATAACGCCGAAACTCGGACGAATGAAGACCAAAACTCGAAGATTCGATAAGCAAAAATCGTGCAAAACGAACACTTATCATTGGTCGGGAAATATGGTATGTTACTTCAATCTGGTTTTTAGATGCCACCTTAATTTTTTGTTTTATTTTTTCATCGTAATGAAAATATCTTGAAAATACATGATGTCATATATAAAAGTTTGAGATGCAAGTTTGGTTATTTTAGTATTTTTATCGCCGTCTCATTGTACTTTTAGCTTTCTGAATTTTAACCATTCTGAGTCGGCGGTGCTGATTATTCCTCAGGTGATGGCAATGTCCCGCTTTCGCTGTCGCTCGTTCTATTAACTGTAAGCAATCCAACTTCGCACTCAGTTTGATTTTATTATGAATTAGCATGTGTTGATGTAATAACTTTTTTCTACCCGTGTTTTTGTTCTTATAGACTTTGACAAAGGGATTTGCTTTGATTGGTCGAATGGGGAAGGTGCAGTTTCGCTCGTCCGTGTATGCATTTACATGTTCTCACATCCATTGCAAATTTAATCTCATTTCATTAATTCAATAAGATTTCTTCCCACATACTTTTATCGAAAGCTGCCACCTAAGCCTCTTGCGATATGCAGTGTTCTTTGTAAACTCCATTAAAGCTGCCGCCTAAGCCTCTTGAAAAATATTGGAGTCTGTTTACTTGTTTTGCAGATGATGACCAAACAGATGAGGCAATCATTTGATAACTTCTTTTCCGGAGAGTGAGTGTTCTTTCTGTGATTTAATGTTACAATTCATTTCGGATTAGAAACATTATTTTTCTGCCGTTACAATTTACTATGATAAATGATTCCACTATCTGTTTCGAATTAAATAAAGATGCTTGTTTATTTACCATAAATTGGTGTCCCTGTTTCTTTTCCCACTTTTGATTTATTGCCTCGACCTCGCAGTCGGAGAGCCTCAGCAGTACAGTGGTTCTTCTTCTTTGTAGGTGAAGTAAAAATAGGTGTTTCAGTTTTGCACAAAAATAAACACAAATTGTTTCTAACTCATATTTCTTTTTTTACAAATACGTTTTTTCCCTTCTTACTGAAGCCTTTAGATTGTGCGGGCAAATGCTTGTTGACTTTGAGATAACCGCTAAATGTATTCTACTGTATTCTTCATGGCTTGCCGGTGTATACTGAGAAGGTGAAGATTGCAAGCTATCTGTTTTTATTGTGTTTGTTCTAATTTAACGAACAAATGAACTTTAGTTGCTATCAATTGACCAGAGCTTGACTGGAATGGAAGGATTCTATGGCACAAAAGTTGATTGAATTATATCTATGCACAGTGCCTCGCAATGTAGAACTTATTTTTTAGATTTATGATTCCTTGTTTTTTTCCAAGTGCAAAATGATTTTACTTCAACGGGATTAGATTCTATGCTCGACTTTTCAACAGTACATATTATGCAATCTGTCGTTGACCTACTACTTGTTTACTGTGCCTTACAGATTTAGGTACTGCATTTCAAATAACCTATATTCTTGAGATCAGCATGGAAATGATCACAAAGTCCATGTCTCTAATAACACTTGCCTTAGAGGTATATGCTTTCATATTCAGAATTTTAGTTTGCCTTATAATTTACAAAAGTTTTTGAATTTTCCTTATCTTTCTATGTGCTCCGTGCCCTGTTACATGTCAGGAGCCATAAATTATTTCATTATGTATTCTTTACGAAAATTTTCAGTAAAATGCATTCGACTGTTGTTGGTTCTGTCTGAAGCCTTTTTTTTAGCCATTTGTATGTTTTGTGCAAATCGCCAACATTGTCCCACAGGCGGTTGTGCTCAGCCTGCAGAGAGTATACATTAATAATTACACATGGTTATTAATTTGAGACTAAAGTTGTGGTATTGAAAATAACTAAATCAAACTTATCTTATGTTTTCCTCAGCTAAGGTTTCTTCTTCTTTATCGTTGTGCACGTATCTGCAACAAAAACAACTTATCCAATTTGTGACATGCGCAGGTTGCCGCAATTGAAATTCGGGCTCTTTATCCTCCGTCGTAACTTCGCCAGGACTCCACCAACCAAGAAGAATCCGAAGATTCGATCGGCGGGAAGTGTTCTGTATGTGCCTTAATTTTTTCACATGTTTTTGCTTTAATTGTTTTTCCTCGTAATAAAGCTCCGTAGTGATCTTCGTTCTCGTCCTCTTCTCCGGCAGTCCAAACTCATGGGTGTGTTGTGCTGCTATTTTGCAACTAATGGGGGTGCCCAATTTGGGAACTCAAATGCTGGGGGACTAGACGTGGTCATCGGCGGAAGAAGTGAGTGTTAAGTTTCAGTTGATTCTTGACTCTTGATTCTTCATTGCAAGTGTCTTATGCTAGTGGGGATTTAAATTTGAAATTGTGTTTGTTTTAGTTTTGATTGTGTTGATTTTATGAAATGCATTGCAGTTGGTTTTAGTTTCAATTTCCACCAATTTTACGTTCCGCCTCTCTGTCTTCCTCTCCATTAAAATTAAATATTTTTTAGGCCGCCCGAAACAAGGGCTTGTGCGTTACAAAACCAAAGCCCAGCCCTGTCTTTTGGGTTGTTGGCTGTTGCTCAACATGTTTCGTTAACTGCTGATTTATGCTCTCTTCCTACTGGTAAGTGGTAAGTCTGTGTCGTTAGTGGAAAACAGTTAAATGTTTCAGTTCTTACTTTTTTATTCTGCGTTTTTGCTGATTTGTTCACCTTTAACGACAAATGGGATTCTTTTTGTTTCTCCAAATAATCCACAATCGGTTTTTGTAATACTTTTTCCGGTATTCATTTTCAAAGCTTTTGTGTTGTTTTCAATTGGCATGTTGCAGCTGATGGTTAGTATCATTTCAATGCATCCATGTGTTTGAAACTCTTTCACGAATTTGTTAAATTATTCTTTTTACCCCAGTTGATCAATATGCTCTCAGTTAACCGCCCACCTGCGACGATTCATGTTCCTATTCCGCCACCTCGATAAAAAAAGAACGGTGACGTTTGTTAAGCCCTTTTCCCCTCCTTTGGTAGAAGCAACAATGGGGGACTTTGATCTCTTCATTAAGTAGAACTTGCATAGGAAGTAGTATTTCTTGAAATTGGGCAAGTTGTTCGCTGAGCAAAGCTTCAATAATGCACTTGTTTCAAAACCGAACTTTGTTATAATTATTTATCCGTTGTTTCCCTTTGTGATCAAAATTAAAATGAACCTTTTGCATGTGGTATCGAGCAGCTTAGATGTGAATGTTTTTTTTAACATTATTGTATGACCCTGCATTCATATCTCAGGATAACATAGATATCCCATAGTGATTGAAATTGTATTTTGTGACCTCTGACTCTGAAAGAGTTTTCTCTATTGATGAAACATTAGTTTAGTATTTTGATTTTATACTTTACACTTTAATAACTTTATCACTTGCTGGTTTCACTGTTTTGTCAGACATTGAGTCGACCCGAGCAGCTAAGTTCTCATAGGCATATTCTTGAAGTGGCTATTGAGGCAGTTATTGATCTCAATGAGAGTTTAAATTAATGGGACAACAATGTTGGTGATACTGACTGTGAATCAACCATAATTGTTCAAACTAATTACATTTGTCTCTCAACCTTATGAAGAATGTGAATTTAAATACATGGTGTGTGGACTTGGATTTCTTGTGATATTATGGGTGTTCAGTGGTGCATTGGACCATTCTTGAAGACATGAAAAAGTGGTGAGCTCTTTTTCTTCGTTTTATTTTGCTTTAAATATAATATGGTTTTGCTTTATATAAACGCGCTTTGAAATTGCATTCTAGAAGACGTGGGAAAAACACCTTATTACTCTTGGAGATTCGAAACGCGTGATTGTTATCAAATTCTGTTTTTTCTTCCACTTGCGGTCATATGTGATATGTATACACCACATGATGAGGCCTACAGAGCTGCACCAGCTTTTCAGTGATCCTAAGGTTGTGGCTGAAGTTCCAAGGTAATTTCTCATGTCATATTTTTCTGATTCCTGTATATATGCATGATAAATCTCCCTATAGAGGATATAAAGACTCCATTTTCGTTTAATATTCGACTTTTTTTCTAATTTGTTTTCCATATTCGGATGGTAATTAACTGTGAGAGTAGATTCGAATCGACTTCAACTAGGTAGGCTATAAGAGTACACCTCAGTGTAAACTAACTTAAAATGGTTGGTTTGTCTGTTGGAGGCAACCGCGATCCTCATCCTAAAGTAACGATGGTTTTCACTATAGCCTTTCCATTATTTTCTTTATAGAAGCTTTTGTATCTTTTATATTTCTTTTCCGTGGTTCAAAGAAAGAACAAAAGTGCTTCTAAAATTTACAGTAATCCAGCTCAAATCAACAAATTGTGAACGGGTTAATGATGATCATTTTTAGGCCCTTATTACTATGCGGGTGGAACATATAAGTCATTTGGAGGCGATATATCTGATGATGTTCAATTACAAAGCTTGCTTATACACTGAAATCGATATCAGTGGTACCAATGAACAAGTTATGCCCGAACATCAATTCAAATCCTGGATTTTCGAATTGAGAGAGATCGAGAATTCTCACTATTTCTTAGAATCATGGACCCAATTCAATTCAGTGGGGTCTTTCGAGACCTATGTTGTTTGATGTGCGCCCGCCACACTACTAGAAAAACGCGTTTTAGCAACGTCTGTTAGCAACGGACTATAAATTTGTTCCTACCATCGCTGTTCAGCAACGGAGGTGGCAACAGAAGACGAATTCGTCCCTTTACTTGTGAAAGTTCATAGATAGCAACGGCTTCTAGCGACGCACATCATTTCCGTTGCAAAAGTTAAATTTAGCGTTAGCTTTAGCCATAAAAATAAAGGTCGTTGCTATCACATTTTTTTGTGTGACAACTATTAGCGATGGATACAAAGTCTGTGTCAAACATAAATATTTACCAACATCTCTAGCAACGGAAGGTTGAGCGGTCGCAAACGTAATTAATTAGCGACGATGGTAGTAATGGAAAATAAATCCGTTTCCAAATTAAATAATTTGCTATAGATTTAGCAATGAACATCATAGTCGTTGCTACAACAAATATATTTGAAACGAAACTAAGCTACGGACATCATAGTTGTTACTAACATAAATTTTAACAAATAACTTGGCGACGAACAACATACATTGCTAATGTTAATTTTTATCAATTTGAATAAATAATAATAATAATAATAATAATAATAATAATAATAATAATAATAATAATAATAATAATAATAATAATAATAATAATAATAATAATAATAATAATAATAATAATAATAATAATAATAATAATAATAATAATAATAATAATAATAATAATAATCATCTACTTTTAAGAGATTGAATTAAACTTGTAATAATATTTATATTTTCTAAGCTTCATTAGTTTATCTTTATATATACACGTGTAGCCTACTTTTTAGTGTTTTATGTGATAGAAAAAGAATTTCTTTATTATAATTTTATTGATTATTTTATTGCCTAAATTAGTTCTACACATTAGTTAGCTAATTGCATAAAAAAAAAAAAAAAAAACTTTTTCTGCCGCTAGAATTAGAGAAGAGAAACAGCGGCAATTAGAGGAGAGAAACAAAGGCTGGGCGGCAACCACCACCACAACCATCTCTGCCTACACGTCCGGCGCACGAAGAACTCCACAGATTAAGGTAACCTGAATCTCTCCCTCACTCTCTCACCCGTCCCCCACTCGTTCCCATTCGTTTCGTATTAAACCCATGAGTTATAAGTTAGGGTTTTAAAGTTCTGTTTTAAATTTTAATTAGGGGTTAAAAATTAATTGATGCACGTTTAAGCCATATTCTTAGCATAGTTTGGAGAGGAATTCTAGATTAAACTCTTAGGTAAGATGCCTATATTTCTATGGAAAAACTTGAATTTTACTAGTTGATGAGTTGAATTAGAAGTTTGAGAATTTTACTATGTTTTTTGTCGAGGCTACTGATTCTCCTTTCTCGTCTGACGAAGAACCTGATAATGATAGCTTGAATGTCACAAATAAAATAAATTTAGTGTTTAGTTGCTTATGTGTTTTGATTGTTGATGGTATATATGTTTTGATTGCTGATAATTAATATATGCTGGACATTATGATATTACGATCGCTAGCTTGTTATTCAATATAATTTTATGTTTTAATTCTGCTCGTCTCACTTTAATTATTCTTCATTAAAGGAAATTTCTAGTAGTGTCAGATTTGGTTAACTAGTTGTCCTTTGTCTTGTAATTAACATTTTGCTTAGGATGAGTTTCTATAGAGCTGATCGTTTGTGGATGTATAATAGACTTGTACCAAGTAGAACAGGATTGACTGAGGAATTTAAGGCTGGTGTTGATGAATTTATATGTTTTGCACTATCACAAGTCAATTTTGTATCAGAAGGTGACATACGGTGTCCGTGTTCAAGGTGTGATAATATGGGTTTTCTTAATGTAGAGGATGTTAAAACCCATCTATATAAGTATGGTTTCGTCCCTGAATATTATCAATGGATATCACATGGGGATCCGTACATAAATCATGTGTCTCCACAAACAGAAAATGAAGCAGCTATTCAAACTACACCATCAGATCCGTATCGCACAATGGTTTTAGAAGCAGCCGGGCTTGGTTTTGATTTTGAATTTGATAGAAACGATTTTGTTAGTGATGAAGGAGAGCTTCCCAATAGTGTTGCTGGAAAATTCTATGAATTACTTAAGGCTACAGAAGAGCCATTGTACGAGGGATGTAAATTGCATACTCCACTATCAGCGACGTCAAGATTAGTGAACATTAAATCTGAGTTCAATATGAGTGGGGTATGCTTTAATCAGATATTACAACTGATGAAAGAGCTTGTACCGAATGACAACAAGTTACCTACTGATTTCTACAAAACCAAAAAAATGGTTAGAAATCTTGGGTTAGGGTATAAAAAGATAGATGTGTGTGTGAATGAATGCATTTTGTACTTCAAAGAAAATCAAGATTTGAAAGTTTGCTCTGTTTGTGGTCACTCTCGATATAAACCGAGAAAAAGGGGGAATGAAAAACAAAAAGAAATTTCTTATAAAATACTAAGATATTTTCCTCTCACCCCAAGGCTTCAAAGATTATTCATGTCTTCAAAAACATCAGAACATATGACATGGCATAAGAAAAGTCGTCGAGAATCCGGGACGATCAGCCATCCATGTGACGGCGAGGCATGGAAGCACTTCGATACATCTTATCCTTCCTTTGCTGTTGAGCCACGTAATGTTCGATTAGCTCTTTCATCTGATGGGTTTAGTCCATATGGACAAAAGAGCCATCCTTATTCATGTTGGCCAGTAATTATAACACCATACAACCTTCCCCCTGGAATGTGTATGACAACTCCTTACATGTTCTTATCTCTTGTTATTCCTGGTCCTAAGAGTCCTGGTAAGAACATAGACGTATATTTGCAGCCTCTCGTAAATGAGTTGAATGAATTATGGGAGGTGGGAGTAGAAACTTATGATTCATTCAATAAACAAAATTTTCAAATGCGAGCTGCACTTATGTGGACTATTAATGACTTTCCAGCATACGGAATGTTGTCTGGATGGAGCACACATGGAGTTTCATCGTGTCCTTTATGTATGGGCCGTAGCAAGGCATTTTTCTTGAAGGAAGGAAAAAAACCATCATATTTTGATTGCCATCGTCAATTTTTGCCCATGAATCATCCTTTTCGGAAAGATAAAAAGTCTTTCCGTAAGGGAAGTGTTGAAAAGTCAACGGCTCCGGATGGTTCAGGTCCATCACTGCATACAGGAGGATCAATTCCAATGTCAGAATATAAAAGAAGATATGTTAGTATTTTTCCCGTTTTTTATTTGTATTTCTTCTACAATTTAATTATATAAACTGCATTAATTATTATGTTTATTTTAGGTGAAAGAAAATGGGAAAGAACCTAGTGCCTCGGAGTTATTCCTGATGACTCACAAGACAAAAGAAAATAATGATTGGGTTGACAAGAAGTCGAAATTGATATGGGTAAGAATCTCATTCCATTAACATAATACTCTTGCATGTTTTTTTTTTCTCTCGAATGCATATAAAGTATCCAACCCAAGGTTGGATTTGGTTATGAATCTGAGTTGATTGGAGTACAAGATTTTTTATTCAATGCATGATTAAGCCTTTTATTTAGATGAATTATTGAAATGTTTATGTATGTGTTTATTATCTCATGAACTTATTTGGTATTCTTGACTTTATGCATTCTAACTTGTATACATTCTGAGGTGTTATGATACAATAAATAAATTTGTTTATGTATATATATTATGGGATTTATGTCATGTATATTTATTATTGAATTTGTGTTGTATCAGGAAAAATTTAAGAATAGCATGAAGAAACGTCGTCTAGATAACAGGTTTGAGACACAAGATAACGAAAATGATGATGCAACAATAGATGATGAAGATGGGGAAGAAGATGACAGTGGAGATGAGGCCTTCATGACAACGATAGCTACTCTACCCAAAGAACTAGTTGACAATGTTTGGCTCGAGGTAACCGGAGGACCAACAAAAGGAAGAATTTATGGTGTCGGGTCCGAGTCTTCTAACATTTTGCAGGGAGTTAACCATATATCTAATGGCCCAACATTTTCTTCATCAGCACCACCCAATTATTCTCAAAGTTTCGTCAATTCTCCTATATTTCAAGAAGCAGTTAATCGAGCAATAAAAGACAAATTTGAACAAATGGAAGCGGCTTTTGAAGAGAAATTGCAAGCCAGGATTGAGGCAGCCACTCAAGCAATGAACCGAAGTCAATGACAAGAATCTGCTAGAGATATTCGGGTCAGAATAATACTTATAGGATAAAGTTTTATTTAATTTTACGGGGCTAGTATTCGCACGTTTATGTTGATATTCTTCAGGTTTTAGTTTGGTTTTGTGAATCGGATTGTAGTTGAGCTCATTAGTATTGACTATGTTGTTTCTTTTGTGAACATGTTTATGATGATATTATTGCGGTGTTAATTAGTATGGTTTTCGTGATTCAGATTTTAGCATAGCTCGTTAGTATTACAATGTTTTTTCTTTTGCAAAATTGTTCAAATATAGGTGTAATTTTATTGATAAAAAAATAAATTAAAATGGGTAAAAAAACAAAATGTTAAAAGGTTATTTGAAAATATATTCTGCAATGGATTTAGCCACGAATATTCGTATATAAATTTAGCAATATTTGGTAATATATTGCAACGAATTTAGCTACAGATTTAGAAACCAATTGTTCGAATTTGGGGTACAGTAGCAACAAAGATAGCTACGACCTTTGTCACGGAATAAGAATTGCAACGAATACTGCTACGAATTAGCCACAGATATTTGCAACGTCCGTATTTGGTGTAGCGATGGAAATGTAGTTACTCCGTTAGCCACGATCTTAGCAACGAACAGGTTGTTGCCACATTAGCAACGGCCGTAGCGACGAGGGAATAATTGCTAAAGTAGCAACGTCGGTAGCGACGAACCGATTGTTGCTACTCTAGTCACGGATGTAGCGACGACAGCTTTGTTGCCACCGTAGCAACGCATGCAGCAACAGAAGTGTTCTTGCTACAGTAGCCACGACTATAGCAACGCTGTAATTCTGCCTCCACCTTAGTAACAGACATTGGCGACGGACATACCGTAGCTAAATATAGCGAGGGATTTAATCTCGTCGAAGCTAAAATTAGCGAGGCGCCCTTTAGCAACGGAGGTGGCGACGACGAAGGTCCGTTTCTAATACAACGTTAGCGACAGAAATATACTGGTTAGCGATGGATATGGACGTTGCTACGCGTTTTTCTAGTAGTGCCACCTCCTCTTTTTTTGAACCCAATGATTCGTCGCCAGAGGTAATTTTCGAGATTCAACATGGAGATTAACATCTCAGGGAGCTTTAAGATAAAGTTGAAGAAGAGATATATTGTTGCTCACAAGGGTAGAGGACCTCTGGTTTTCGATTTCACCCTTTTCTATATAATTTTGGTGAATTCAGGTAACAAGTACACTATTTTTTCACCGACTTCACAAAAAACTGTCAAACTTGAATCAAACTGTTTGTTAGGTTATTCGTTGCTGATGAACTGTATTATACTAATCATAATCGACATTTATCTTAGACCTGAAAAAACAGAGCTCACGTGAATACTAAAGTTCTCTTCTCTCCCAATTAACATGAGAGGATGCAACGGAATAAGTTGACACTGAGGGGACTTTACTCATTTTATGTTCCTATCAACATGTTGCATAAAGTTGAGCTGTACTCGACAATGTCAAACTCGTTTTTGAGATTCATGATACCATGTCCTTGTTCGAAGTACAAGAAATTCGACCGGGCATCGCGCATTGCGCGCATTGCCTCATCTAGTATATATATATATATATAAATAAGAATGGATGGCTTCTCCAGCTTCTGGGCCTTTTTGTTTCCCTTTTTTCTTGGTCCATTTAATACTAAAACGATGTCGTTTTGCCTATTTTTAGGCCAAAAGTAACTGCCGGCATTTTCCTTTTCCAATTTCTTTTAATGTGGATGGTACTCTGCTGTAGGGGCCCATGGTCGGTTTATTACGCAACATGACGTCCGCATCAGTTTTTTATTATTGTTTCTCTCTCCTGCCCTATCATTTTCTTTTCCTTTTTATATTATTGTTTCTCTCTCCTGCCCTATCCTTTTCTTTTCCTTTATTTTCTTTTTTTATTTATTTCTTCTGGGCCCCGCCAATATTTTACTCTTTTCTCTGCCTGTCGTCTTCTATCTCTCTTGGCCCAAACCCATTTACCCATGATTTTCGCTGCTTTCTTTTTTTAATTTTTTTTTCCAGTTTAATTATAATACGACGTCGTTTGTCATTTTCAATTTAAATATAAAATATTCTTCCCACCAATATTTTTATTTTCGTTCTTCTTGTCCCATGTAATTTTATTGTTAAACGTACCTCTATGGACTAGGCTTGGTGCAGGTTGGGACGAAATTTTCAATTTCCGTCGGTTTCCAATCTAAAAAGTATCGATTTTGGAACAATTTTTTTATTATGAATTCTGAGGTTTTGATTTTTGATTTTGATTTTAATTATGATGTGGTTTATTTTTATTTATTTTTTTAAACTGAGATTTAAAAGTTATTAGTTATACTTTTATCGACGTGGATATTCTTATTTTTGAAAAATTATGAAATTGTCAGAAAATTTTTGCTAAGTTTTGAAATTTTAAAAGTTATGTGATTTCAAAAAAAATTCCAAAATCCCGAAATTTCCGAGCCTTTTTTAATTGGAATGGACTTTTAGTTTGCAGTTTTTTTGTAATTGAAATCGGAATTAATTTTGCATTTCCAAACATTTTTTAATTTTTTTCGGAAAAACTATTTGTGATTCGATTTTCTCCCATAAAATAGACATTAATACTGGGCAAACAGCTCAACTAGTATATATATATATATATATATATATATATATATATATATATATATATATATATATATATATATATATCTTATGTTTCGTTTTGTTTTCTTCTTTTTCAAACTTTAATGTGAATTTACTCCTTGAAAATATTTAGTTGTAGCCATTCATATATGATGTAAGTTCACTTTACACCCCTGAACTAAAATAGTTGTATCAAATACCTCCTGTGGACTACCAGACGTACCAAAACGATCCCTGGTCAACGTTTTATATATATATATATATATATATATATATATATATATATATATATATATATATATATATATATATATGGTTTCATGTAATTGTTGAGTTTATAATTAACTTTTTGACTTTTGTTGACTCTAATTCCCACGCTTTCGGTGGATATGATCTATAATAAAAATTTGAAGAGTGACCGCCGAAAATGTGTAACGAAATATATGTCACCATATCGGATTGTATGCAGGGGTGGACCCAGGGGAGTTTTCTTGGGGACTGAAATATAGAGGTAATTTAAGAGAAGATTTGTTTTTTTTATTTATGGACTAAAGTGTACAAAATTAAAAGTTTGGGAGGACGAAAGTACATTAACTAATACATAAAAGCCAAAAAAAAAACTGCTTAAAAAAATTCTTGGAGGGGGGGTGGGGGGGCGGGGGCCACCCAGCCATAAGCATGAGTACGCCCCGCCCCTGACTGTATGCACAAAGTAAAAATAATAACTCAAAACGAGATGATGTTTATTCCATTTTATTCAAAGCTCAACATAATTATAATAGGAAAATTACAATATGTCAAGATCAATTAGCAAAATAATTTTCACTAGCAATTCTCTTTTTGGCAGACACATAAATGTTGTGATTGCCCTACAAGAAGACAGTAGCCAAATGGGTAGCCTAATGGGACGCAATCTTGAGTGCAGCTATAGTCGGAAGTGCAACTCTTTTTAAGTTTAAGATTGCATAGTTTACCTGTGCTCTCCTCTACCATACCAAAATAAAAAACAAGTATTAGGGCATTTATTAAAAAAGAAAAGGATAAAGAGGAAGAGATTTTGGGATCTGTTCGATACTACACTCGGTGTATTATTGATGATTACCCAATGTGTGCACACACATATGTGTATATATATGCAGGGGCGGAACCGGGGGCTAACTAAAATTTTGAGGTTCGGGGCAGCGGCCCGAAAAAAATTTAGGTTCACAAAACATTGCAAAAAATAAGTTTATATTACTAATTTTTAATTAAAATATCATATATATTATAATTATATCATATTTTAATCATCACAGAAAATTCTAAATTAATTCAAATTATTCTAATAATATATTGCACTTAATATTTCGGTGATTCATGGCACGATCTCAAGGCATTGATAAAAAGAAAAAAAAGTAATATTCAGAAATTTTATTTAAAATAATACAGGTTTTAAGCATCTTATTTTATATTTTATCTATAATTTATATAAGATTATGAAGAAGAAACTAAAAAAATAATAACTTAAGACACTTTGGGGGCCAAAAGTAATATTCAAAAAATAAAATACCAAATATCTGAATTTTTTTTTCTTGGGGGGTCATCAGCCCCCCATGCCCCTTGAAAGCACCGCCCCTGTATATATGTGATTACAGAACTAGTGTATTTCACCAGATGCAATATGCATGTGTATTAAAAGAAAAAATATGTATGTATGTTTGAAAATTGAAGGCGCAAAACTTGTGTATTTCACCCGGACGAGAGGGATATTGGAAAGGGAAGAAATGAACTTACGAGCGGTAAGAAGAAATACCAAGAAGAAAATCAAGGTAAACATTTTTTTAGCCTCCATGATAGAACTCTCACTATTTGTTCACTCTACAATTGTTGAAAAATATTACCAAAGGCTTCTGAATTTATAGCTCATAGCAATATTAATTTTGTATTTCTATATTTAATGTAAATCCCCAAGTTTCCTAATACTATTTTGTTATGTATCGTTTCATTAATTTCATCAATCCCAAATATCATGTGAAGCTAATCTTAGTATTTAATTTCGGATAATAATTGCGTGTCCATGATCTTTTTCTTTACTACTCAAGGATTTTTTTTTCTCTTCTTGAGTATGTAGGGGTTTTTTCCAGCCCAATAATAAGTGACACCTTATTTGTCTTAGTGTGTGTAAAGTGTATATTTTTACACTTAATTATAACTTTTAATTGGAGTTTTTAGTGTATTTTATTGATAATTGGTGCTTAAAGTATTCATTTATTGTATTTTAGGTACAATTTGAAGAATTGGATAAATCGAGGGTCAAAAACACAATTTTGGAGAAAATACGGGCACAAAGTGAACAAGTCAAAAACCTGAAGAATT